AAAATATTTAAAAAAGAATAATTATTCATCTTTTTAATAGAAATTAAAATACACTTTAAATATTAAATAGTGAAGAAGATATGTTGCAAAATATAAAAGAATAAAAATTAAAGTAAGAAAACTTGTCCGTATATCTAATATTGAGTATATTGCATAACACAAATGATTAAACTAAATGATTATGATATGAAAATAACTCGCATAAAGTTCACAAGACTTTACCAACTCGAATGGGCTTGGTAATCGGTCTGGCAATGAAACCTTTCGACTTTGATTTACAATTGGATAGTGTCGCATGATTTTTATCGAGCCCTTTCCATTTTTAGATAACATTAATGATAATTACAGAATTTCAATGAATATTTTGAAGAAACTTCCAGGTAATAATTGTAATTAATATAAGTTCAAGATAAGTTAAATAAAAATTAATATTGACGCTACTATTTTAATTGATTTAAATAATAAAAATAATTAGAGCAATAATGATGACAATAGTAATCATAATTTGATTATAAATAGGTAATAAGCAATTTATTTACTTAATACTAGTAAAATTTTTATAATTAATTTTTCATAATCTCATTGATTAAAGAAGCGGAGTAATATTAATAAAAATATTATTTGTATTATTTAAATTATGAATAAATTTATGAATAATATGAAGAATTATTTATTAGCAATTTATGTAGTGTGAATATTTCGCACAGAATTTAAAGTAAGTAAAGATTTTCATTAAGTCATTATTTAAAGAATCTGTTTTTAAATTAAGTCACTTGTATTATTCACTGGATATCTCAGGAAAAAAATTTATAGAAAACATATGAATACTTGTTTGGAAAGAATACTAAAAACTAGGTAAATTATTATATAGCTAATATTTTTTCGATTTTAATATTATTTCTTATTATAATTAATATATTTGCATTACAACAATTATAGCATTCAGCAAAATAATATTTTTTAAATTAATATATATATATATACAATACTTATATTATTATATATACTTAATACATACTTAATACAATTTGTTATAAATGAAAAAATAATGAACCATTGAATTAAAAATTAGTGGAAAGAAATATTTATATTATAACATATATAACTTTGAAATTTTATAATGGGATATTATGAAGTTCGATTTAATGTAACATAATTTATAAAATTATTGTATCTACTAAAATTATTATAATTATTGTTACTTATTTAATGATTACAATAATAACTGTATTAATTATTTTTCAATAATTAATTAGAATCAAATTTAAATATGTCTTTGGTAATCGAATAAATAATAATATATTTCAAAATAATTTTCCTGTTCAGAGATGTAGAATGCATTTTGGATATATATAATGAGAATTATATGAAGGCTTTAAGAAAAATTTTTATTAAAGGAATACCTAGCCATGCCAAGAATAAACGAACGAATCCCTTCTAAAACGAATAGCGCGATTATAACGGTTTCCACAAAAAGTTCATTGCAGTGAAAATTAATGAATAAATAAAATTGTCTATCATGTAATTTATTGCGAATGAGTACATCCCTTCAATTGGTTGTCAAGTGTGTGTGCACACGGAATGTAATATATCCCGGTAGGCGCGTGTCGAGCACGTGCCGGTAAGTGTTTGTTTCGGTTTGTATTGTCACCACGGATATGAGCCCATTGGGTACCTCCAGGCGCGTAATGTATTCCGTATTCCTCTCATGTCCCTTTGCATTTAGATTATTTCCCAATACCATAGGTAAATAACATTCGAGCATGTAAGTCCAATAAGCGCCGTACGATCATGGGAACCGCTTGACGTTCCTCTTTGTTACCAGCTCCTTATTTTTACAATTAACACGCTCGTTTCCAGTATGGAGATGCAGAAGTTTTTTTTTTGTGTTTTTTTTTTTTTTTTTTATAAGAAATCAATTGGGTTTTTCTTAATTCAAAGTTAAGAATTAAGAACTAATCGGTTTAAATATGGCATTGTCACAAGAACTTCTTTATAGATAAGACGGATTGTTGCTTTCGGTATTAGTGGGGTATCTCTAGCAACACGTATTCGCGGCATTCATGAAATTCATCGTACGAAGATAAATTTCATCGGCAAACATTTTCGCGTGGAGAGTGTGGAGATTGGAAGAGCAGGGTAAAAGAGGAACACAGAAAGGCTTTGCATGCGCGCGAGCTTACAAGAGAGTTGTTATCTTCATCACGATCGAGGAATGCAATATTCTCACCCCAAGCGACACGAGTTGCCTTCGTATCATCTCTGCAGCCCTGCCAAGAGGGGATTAAAACGCAATGGAAACCTGCTCATCCCTCGACTGACGCGATTCTACTATCTAACCCCTCCTACCCTCCGAACTCTCCGTTGTATTATTTCACCTCCACTCTTACGCTATGCTGCTTTCGATTCGGCCGATGCAAGTAAATAAGTTATTACTCTACGCAGAATCCTCGCGATATCTTTTCTCTTCATGGACTTTTAAATTAAATTCTTTACCCAAACAATACACCAGGAAGTATTAATTATTATTTCCCGTCACAGCGCAACTGTAAATTTAAATTTCTTTTGTTTAGAGATTTTCTGGATGGTGTCGAGGTGTTGTCAATATTATTAATATAACGAATGCGGTTGATATACTGAAGTATACTTTATTATTATTTATTTATTTATAATATATTATAAATCTATCATTTTAACACATTTATATTATGAACTACAGGAATAAATTCTGTACCGGGAGGTACAAATTGATCCTTCTCAATTTTTTCAACGGTGTAGTACATTTTTGTTATTAAAGTAAATAATTTGAAAATCATAAATAATGCTTTAGCTTAGTAAATAATTGTGGGTAATTTTTTTAACTTAGTACTTACTTTTCTTCTTTACAATGCTCTTAGGCAATCAAAATTGTTCCAATTATTAAAATAACAATTTCAGACTTACAGTGTGACTTTCGTTGCATGCAAGATGCATTATGTATATGCGTATTATAAGTAGATCTTTTAATACATCTTACCACTTCCCGAATATCTTATCATTTATACTTTTAAATCTATTACACGTCACAATCTTACAATTAAACTATCATAAAACGTCGATCTCTAGATAATTTACCATATACACATTAATGCACAATCATCTGCTTTATACAATTTTCAAAGCACTTAATTAAAAATTTATCTCAATTAACAAAAATTAAATATAATCGATTGAAATTTGAGAAACATTAAAGATACTTTACTAAGTGAAGCAATCATTTTTCTTTAAAATTAGTAAATAAAAAATATTCATTTACGTTTATGAAAGTTCATTAAACTGAAAAGACGTGCCTTCTTGTTAGCAATTTTTTTCAGAATTTTAATCAATACTTCATTTAATATCGAAAATGTTCATTATCGATGTACACAAATGTCTAAGCTTTAAATTTAAATTGATATTTCAATTATTATCAATTTAATGATCTACATGTTTCTTTAAAGTTTTATTGTGACTTTATTTGAATATGGTTTAATATAATTGTGCCTGAAACTAATAAGACAATAATCTAGCATTTGTAAGATTAAAATTTTCAATATATGTTGTTTTATAATACATATGAATTTCTTTATCTAGCTTAAAAGAATTAAATAAACCATGGAAATACTATACTATAATTCTATAAATATTCATTTAAATATGAATATTTATAATACTATAATATTTATAAATATATTTATATAATACTATAATTTATAAATCTATAATACTATATATAGTCTACTATTATATAGTATGTATTTATAGATATTATAGATTTTTTAAATTATTTTATTAATTCGCGTATAATTTGTAGAATATAAATTAATGAGATTGTTCTTTGCATTCAATTTAAATGAAGATCTTTAATTTCAATAAAATTATAAAATTATGAAATTTTCAATGAAGTAAGGCAAAAGTAATGTGCATTGTAAACAATGAAATTATTACGAATAAAATGACATCCATCAAAATATGTTAAAATTGGCTTTTATATGAACTTTGGTTTTACCGCATATTTTGCTTCATGAATTTAATTCTACTTCGCCATATGTACAATATGCATTCGTTTTGACTGATCGCGTGGTCCATCAGATACACTACCCTCTGTTATTGAATAAAAAAAAGCTGCCAGAAATCTGAAGTGTTCAGCACATGCTGAACCAAGAGCCGTGTATTTACAGTGCTATTATTAAACTACACGTATATAAATAGAATAATCGGCTGGTAACCTTACAAAGAATAGTGAAGTCATATTCATTATTTCGCAAGACCTAACTTATTATATTACACATACTTTTGTTTTGACCTTGCAAAGTCAAAATACTTGTGATAAAAAATAAATTAATAAAGAAAAAATATCACAAAAATATTAAAAATTTAAGTGACTATTTATTAAAGTTTCGATTTTCAATGTATGGCAGATTTTGTTGACACAATCCGTTTATTATATAGTATAATATCACGGCATTTAACTAGAGTTCCTTTGCAAGTTAAAGTACTGCTCAGCTTCCATAAAACTTTGCATAATTTTTAGACACTTTATAGTAACAAGATGGGACGTGGATTACGTCATGAACCTACATTTATAGAAATAAAATGAATGTATCAAACTATATATCTGCATAATTTCACGAATTTAAAAAATAGCTATTATTTGATTATTTATATACTATGAAATGCATTTAAAAAATTATTAATAACAATAAATTTAATTTAAACTGCGTGGACGAAGCTCTGCAATGCAAAGTTCTACGTCAGACAGTCATGCTATAATTCATAATTATTGCACTTTTTCGAGGTTCTCTTTCATTTTATATATAATGGCAAGAATTTATCTTAATTTCACGCTTTCAATTAAACTTAATAGTAATTACAATCTTTGGCTTTTTAATATCAGATACTAATGAATCATTTTGTTTGGATAAACTAACGGCTTTAACAATATCTCAAGACCAAAATCGATCACTTCTCATATTGCCCTCCTAACTTACACCAGCGGTGAGAATGCGGACGCTTGACTCCTTATCTCCCGGTGTTCCGACGGACTGAGATCTAACAAGCCATTCACCATATTTTGTTCGGTGACATGATTCACTTGCTTACCAATTAGCGAATCGATACTAAAGCTCCTCTTCTTTTCGACGCAACTATTATTACTCGTCGTCGTGCTACCCGAATCCAAACTCGTTCTTACGGGCGGATTATTAACCTGTCGGACTGGCGGGGCAGAAATCGGCACCGGCTTATATAGCGGCGGAGGTGGCTCCAAAAATCCTCTTAGCTTTAATGCTTCTAATGCTGAAGATGGAAAGTCCAGAAGGGGGAGCCCGACTGGCGGCGCGAGATAAGCCCCTGGATACGGCAAGGAACCCGGATGTCCTCCACCTGGACAAGGACCCCGTTCGCCACCACAAATAGCGAAGGTAGCCATTATCGCACGATCCCGAAGAACGTAATGTGGTGGCGGCCTTTTGTAGCGTTTCCTACGACGCAGAAAGCTTCCATTGTCAAACATATCTTCGGCCAGTGGATCCAATGTCCAATAATTGCCCTTGCCCGGATTTCCCGGCTCTCGCGGGATCTTGATGAAGCAATCATTGAGTGATAAATTGTGCCGTATAGAATTTTGCCACGCGGGAAACTTGTCGTGGTAATAGGGAAACCTCGACATGATGAACTCACAAATACCACTGAGAGTTAGCTTTTTTTGAGGAGATTGTAGAATAGCCATTGTTATAAGTGCTATGTAAGAATAGGGCGGCTTGATCAGCGATGACGATAGTTTGTCAGTAGAGAAATTTGAGCCTTGATTATTAGTTTTCTGTGTAGCCGACATCATGGAGTAAGTTTTTTTATAATTTCGATTACGATTTCGTGCTGCCCCTGAAGCTTTTGAAATCGTAGGACTCGATGAAGTTTGAGGTGACAAATCATTTTTGTCCAGGCTCACTGGATCAACGATCATGCTGCTGCTGTCTGAATCCCGATCACTGTCAATGCAGCCATCGCACGATGCATTCGACATCGTCATGGGATCCATGTCCATATTGAACATTTAAACAAATTTATTTCTATCTGAAATGTCAAGAGTCAATGTATTGAATAATTGTCATTATTACATTAATATTTGTAATTGAACCAATTTTAATATCGAATATTTTGATAACTTTAAAAAGGATCTTACCTCGTTTACGAAAATGTCATTATGCAAAAGTGATGAGAACACATCTGATCAAATAGTAAGTAACGATCTCTTTGATGATTGAAAATGAATCCGACGATACGCTACGTTTGCGTGGTGATTCTTCCGACACCTCATTTTCTTTACTGAAAAGTGTGTAATATCATCCAAGTTATCTTCGCTTTATTATCTTACGCTAATAGTTTGTTTCCTCAGTGATAAGAACTTTTTTTTACTCAACTATTCACTCTCACTTTCAACGCTCAGATACACGTTATGTATGTTGTATATAAACTTGCTTGCCACACACCGAAAAACTTAAAGGATCTTTAACATTTTTTATACCTTGTAATCACACTATTCAGTATCTTTAAAAATTATATTATATGCTTTATTTATTACCTTTACCATTACTGTAGTGCATAACAGGATTAATATTTATTAATTGAAAGTCCAAATGCACTTGAAAATGAAAAAATTTTAATTTCTTCATGCAGCACTCCACTAACAATGTTCAAAGTCATTCTCCAACTGCACGTGTCAGGTTGGCCGGTGGTATTGCCACCTTATGTTACCGACAACTATTTTTGATTGGCATTGTTTTAACTATTATATTAATAATTCGCCATCATGTCGGCATTAGTAATGCTTGCAAGTCGTTGCTAATGTGAAATTTACGATCGTGGTGGTCACTTAACACAAAATGGCGTTCGATTTGAACGAGTAAACCAAAACAACATTAGTCTATTTGCTAGAATTGTATAAAAAATGTTGAGGGCCAAAAGCATCGAAGACCGTCACATATCTCTGATAGATGATTATTCCACAAATGAACTGATGCAAAGGACAATGTTCAAACCCGGTTATCGTAGTTTGACGTGTAGTTATCGCGCGCGCGCGCACATTGGTGGCCGTCAACGTTAGACGAAGCAAACTCGAATGCGAAAGCCGTGTTTGGCAAGGGACGATCTCTCGCGCGGGGACTCATGACGAATTGATTCGAAGGTCTCTCCTTCGCGTGTAGCCGACCGGGGGGCGGATCGCGGAGGGCGGAGATATTCTCTGCACCCCCACCACTTTGGTACGAGTATGGGGGTGATGGACGCGGCCACCCCCGCAAAACTGTTTTGCTGAGGGTTTGAAAGAGAGAGAGAGAGAGAGAGAGAGAGAGAGAGAGAGAGAGAGAACTGGAGTGAATGGTAGAACGGGGTGATGTAGCTGGGAATATAGGGAGATAGATAAAGGGCCACGAAGCGAGCGAAGGAGATAGAGAAAAACTGATGGGTGGGGATAGGTATCGGTCGTGTGCAAGCAGAGGAGAAAATTGTAACACTCAAACGATAGAGATAGAAACATTGGGCTGCTTTGCTTTGAAGGTTTTATGACACAAAACTGTGAGCATAACAAGGACAGAGAGAGGGGGGAGTGAGAGAGAGAGAGAGAGAGAGAGAGAGAGAGAGAGAGGACGGGGAGAATTATTTAAGTGTGTTGGCGCCCGATTGTAATTGTATATGCATGTGCGAAAGAGAAAACGAGAGGGAGGGCCCCGGTAGTGGGTGGACAAATGAGAACGTTTGGTAATGTCAGCTAAAGAGTGCACAACTGCGGGAAAAGAAGAATCGTAGAAAAATTGACTATTTGTCGGCAAAAGTTGTCAGTTGGCCTCTAGTAGCTCAAGTTTTAATTCTATCGTTTTTTTAAGTACTAAATGTTTTACAGGTAAACAATAATTAATTACAGATATTAAAAATAACTTTCAATTTGAAAATGAGTTTCAGCTTAAGTTAAAGTTTACACATAATCCTCTTTAAAACATAAATAAATTTAGTTGAATAAATTTAAATCGGTATTAGAGATTATTCCTTGAATTATGTTAAATCAATAATTATTTTTGAAAAGTTGAGTCTAATTGTTCTATAACTTGTGTATAATAAATGAAAGTTATCAAATCATAAAGCATGACAGTTATCAAATGTAGCTTAAAAAAATTTGATTTATATTACAAATTCAATACTAAGCTAAAAAGATTTTGAAGATTATACTGGTTCTATTGAAATATCAATTTCTAAATATTCAACTTCATGATGAATAAAGAAATAAAAATACCATTTTATTAAGTATAATAGTGACCACTTAAATCTATAAAAATACTTTATACTCACTCTTTCATAAATTCGGGTTTATTTATTGAAAAAGACAATTCCTCGACATTATGTTTAATCTTCAATCTATCAACTTAATGTTTCGCAAATTCTGTTTATCCGAAATAAATTCTTTAATGTAATTAATTGAATTTATAGAAATAATTTCTCTGTGCTAAAAATATGAAAGTTTTAAATATCCCACTGACATGTTTTTAATAAAAATTTATCTGATTGATTTTGCCTGTAAAAGGTATATTAAAGATTAATAAATTTAAAAAACTTCTGTTTATATATTATAAACATTCGTGAATAAGATATTATTTTTCTATGAGAAATAAAAATTTTTAATTTAATAAGGATAGATTAAATATTTTAAGATAATAGATCTGAAGCTACAAATATAAGTTAGTCTCATACTTTCGCATTCATAAAAATTTGTGACACTTTAAATATTAAATTAAAATATATATTAACTATAGCGATGGTGACAGTGATAAGATAAAATGAGATTTAAAAAATGCAAATGCAGCAAAAGTTTTATTAATGTTACTTGAATTTTATTATTTGAAAACTGTCAAGTTATAAATGGAATAATTATTTCTTTTTTATTATTTCATATAAAATGATCTATAGAATTAGACAATATTAAATAATTTATACAATTTAATAACTAGTATATTATACAATTAATATAATTTAATTATATTTATATTTGTCCCAAATTATAAGGAAAGTAATTAATTTATGAAATATGGAATCAATAAAAGATAAGTTACGATAAATTATTATGCTTTAAGTAATATTAAGAGAAAACTCCATTTATAAATACATTGAATAATATGTCAGATGCATTCACTTGTATTATTTCTTAAATATTCCCTTTATTAAGCTGATTTCGCTCTATTTTGGAATATACAAGCTTTGTTTACAAATATTTTTAGCTTTTTCATCTAAAATTATCTTGGAAGCATATTAATCGTGTTTATGTAAAAAAATATATATAATTCTGCAGATTTAACATTATTTAAAGTATTGCAATTAAATATGTTTCTTATTGCGTTAAAAATTCTATTAAAATTTTGACGTATAATTATAGAATATTCACAATGAAATCGGATTCATACTAACATAATCATGAAACAAAAGAATTGTCATTGTACTAATATGTGCTAATTTACTAATACATAGCTTATTAGTTAGTGTTTTTTTTTCAATAATAAATTAAAATATCATTTTTCGTTGAGTTTCGATTGTCGTTTGGTTTTTTTTTGGATACAGATACTGTAATCATATATTGTGGTCAATAACTTGTAATGGACAAGTTGTGAAAACCACTTAAATCTTGCATATTTTTTACTTAATATACCTATTCTAGCTATACAAGTAAATATGATTTTCATTATATAAAATATTCTTCATGGTTTGAATAATCAATAAAACATATTACAACAATTATTACAATATATTTTTCAGAAAAAAAAAGTTTCAAACTTTTTACATATGGCAAAATCACTTTATATTAATTAAAATGTTTTATATATTATTTTTTAATTAAACAGTGAACATTTCACTATTTCCTTTTTAAAATGTAGAAAAATTTGTTAGTATATCTAATTTTTATCTATAATATCAAAATTAATTGATTTAGTTTCTTATAAATATTTAACAGGATTTACGTAGTTTTCTGTTATTTTCTCCTTATTTTCTGTATTATTTTCAGAAATTTAGAAATTCAATTCCTTGAATGTTTATACATTTTTATATATCTACTAAAATATTTTATTATATCTTTGTTAAAATAACTAGTTAATTTCAATAAAAAAAAATTAAGAATTCAAAAAAAGTTTTATATACTAATATATATATTGCTTAATTTAATAATTTATTGAGCGTTTTATAGTGTAAGTGTCAATATATATATATATATATATTTCCAAAATGTTAAAGTGACTTGTGTTTCAAAGTAATTTTCTTTCCTTTCCAAATGATCTTGCGAAAATTCAGATGAAGTATATTAGAGGTTGTCGAGCTCAGTACAAAAGTAAGAAATGTCCGCGGGATATGTAACTTAGTAAAAGTACGGCAGCTACTGCCGAGTTCAAAGATTAAATCGTCCGATTACCCTCCGGCCGTGCTAGGGTTTCGAGCAAATTTAAATCTCGCTAAGCTTGGTCCATTAGAATGAAGTGTAAACACTAAACAATGCATTAAACTATATGGACATAAGCTTTTCCTTCTCGTTCACTCCTATTTGCAAGAACTGGATATATGTATGCTTGTATCTTTGCGTATGTGCGAGAATATATATACTCTTAAATATCAAGCCAAGTGTCTATTCCCACGGAGATTTCGGGGACAGTGTTTTGCCCATATGTTTTACGTACGTGTATCCGCTTTGTAGAGTTCTAGCGGCAGAAATTATACGCTTGCTGCCTCTCAATTGATGGAAGTGTTTTATTTTATTCGACCGCCATTGTTATCGATACGATAGCGGATCACTGGTTAGAAATAGGAAGTAAATTTTTTTTAAATAGTTCTAAAATACAATGTTTTTATTTGTGAGAATAAAAATACGATTTCATGAAGCCTTTTTCGGTAAAAACTTAAATATACTAGAAAATTTAAATATGCTTTGGATTTTGTTGAAGCATCTATATAAATATTTGAACTTTTTACTGTTATATATACTTTATCTTTAGGTTTATACAGAAAATTAATAGTGCTTATTATTCATAAGTCATACTTAATTTTTTTAATATATTCGAACGTATCATACTAATAAAAGTTGTGTTTATTTAATGATGAATATTGTAAAATTAAAAAGAATCATCTACCTAGCATAAAATCGAATTGTCATCGATTCGCATAACACATACAATAGGTTTATTTTTAATAATTGATAAATATAATATCTATATTTAATTTAAAATAAAGATATTTTATTGCCG